CGTACATGGCCTCTGAGGCCAACACTGGTGATGTGTTCACCAAGGCACTGGCGCCATGTGACCATCAGCGCTTTTGCACCCAGCTGGGTCTTGTACCTGTCTTGCCTCACTTGCTCTCCTCTTGACTTCACTTGTACTGTGACAGATATATATACCTGCTCTTGCTTGTCTAGTTTTATATATATGTCTGTACTCCTGCATGTGAACTGGCCTCTGGCCCTGCTCTTGTGCTCGGGACTGTGTGGTGACTTTGTGATCCACCCTGAGCTTGCTTTGCGTTGCTTTGCTTGACTGGTCTTGTGACCCCTTGTTCTCCCCCACTTAGCCTATGGGGGTGTGTCAGAGTATTATAGTTGATGCATGTTTGTAGGCTATAGTGGGGTAGCACATATGGGGTACAACTTTCTAGGGTTGTATTTGTACCCAACTCTGACTTAGTCATTCTCATTCTTGTTCATTCTTTTCACAAGCTGTAATTTTCCATACCTGCCCAGGAGTCATCGGCGCACTACGACAAATGGCTCGGCGAGTCTGGACAACACCGCTGGAGGTGCCGACATCATCTGACATTGGACTGGCGTTCGACATCAATTTCGGAGTGACATTCGATTTCGGTTACTGCTTCAACGAATTTCGCCGACGCTCGTATTTGACTTTACGACGAATCGCCTTCACCGACGACATTTTCGTACCAACCCCGACTTCACGGCCAGAGGATTCGGGATACAGCCGCTCCAACTCTACTAGCGACAAATCCATCCACTCGACCCGCCCACGACAACAGCACTGATTTCAAACACGTCAGGTGCTGCCAGCTGCATCAGCTCAAGATACTGCATGATTCTGGCTTGTGAAGACAAAAACAAACTTTTTGGGGCACGTAAACCTGGGTTCGCCATCGACATTTCCACACCGACGACATATCGCCTGGACTTTTACATCCGACGCTCTTATTCGTGGGACTGGCTTTTTGTTGGTTTTCATCTTGGCGCAGCAGTGAAACATTTTCTGGTGTCTTTTCTTTGAGGGGGGGAGAAGTGCGCTGCACTGCTCTTTCCTTGGCGTTTTATCGGTCCTTTCTAACTTTGTCAGGTTGCGTCAGCACGACGGACGACCGCGATCACACCGACAAGATCGACGGCTTCTGCTACATCGCGATTGAATTTCGCGTCAGCAGTTTCCCTCCACATCCGCGACATCTTCGACCGTCAGATCTACATTTGCTCGATCAACGGCCCACATTCCAACCTCTACTTCATATTGGGCCAGTTCATCTTCGACCGTCAGATCGAAATCGTACTTCATCAACGGCCTACATTCCAACCTTCTCAAAAAATTGTCAAAAAGCATTTCAGCCGTCGGATTCAGCTGAAGGGGAGATCTACGGCATCCTTGCTAGTGTGGGGCCTGTTTTCAGTACAGGGCTGCCTTATTTAGAAGGTGGGAGAGTGTAAGGATTTACAAATCCTTAATGAGGCACTCGTTAGCGAGGCCATCCCGAGGGTCACGCGACGAACCTGACCTTCCTATTTCGTCGCACCGAACCACTCCCGAATCGGCCTCCGCTCCAATCGCAACCATCACCGAGCCATCCTCGCCCAACCTCCCCGCCTAGCTAGCTTTTCCCCTATTTAGGCCTCGCTACTTCATTGTTCATTCAGTGATTATGTAAGGGCGTATCCCTGGGTGGTGGCAGGGCCACTGTAGATGGCAGAGTTGGTGGCATGCGGGAAAACCGCATGCCACCAACATTTTTACCGAGGCGCGCGCGACTCGTATTTGGTGGCATTGAAGTGACATTTTTGGGACATTGCCCAATCAAGCACTTGTATTCGCGCGCCAAATTTCCTGACACCAACCTGACGTTTTATGTGTTCGTGGCAGGCTGCCATCTACAGTGGCCCTGCCACCACCCAGGGATACGCCCTAATTCAGTACTCAGTTCATTCTCGATATTCGTTTTACTGCGCACTCTGCAAGTTCATTCATACATTATGGAGTCCCATGTTGGTTACTTGTGACTTTTAACCCCCTTCTGTAAATGCACACCAACAAGGCATCTTGTATCGTGAACCTGTGCGTACGGTGCTGTAGCTTTGGCGAGACTGCTGTCTTTGTCGGGCGTGCATCTCTGTGGTGGCTCGCCAGCCTCTCAACAGCAGGAACTGTACGTACGTAACTTCCATTTCCAAGGCGTCCGTTGTCTTGTTCGACTCCTCGTGTCAACTGTTGACCTGGACGAATTGCAAATGAATCTGGTTGCGGCCGTGGGTTTCTAGGTCACAGTTCAGCACAGTCCAGTACAGAGCTTATAGCTCATCTGCGGGCATCACGAACAGGGGTCTTGGTGGTGTTCGGGAGCCCCGAAACAGAGGAAGAGGATGCTGCTCCCACCGAGCATGAAGACGAAAAACGACAATACACCACTTGACGAACTGTACGTTGTATACAGATAAACAATCAGATTCGCCAGCTGGAGAAAAGGACAGGGGTGTTCATAGTCAACGCCCCAATTTGGGAAAAAACGACAAACATCGCACGCCCAAGGTCAAGATGCCAAAACGCAGCTGCCATCTCATCGGAACTCTCAACTTCCCATCCCAATACGTATTTTCTAAACCAAAGCAACCCGCGCAACACGAATTAAAACCACATCAACAGTACATTTCAACAGGTCTTACATGTATGCCCTGGGTAATCTTGACGATGAAACCGAGATGCCCAACAAATTTTCTTGAGTACTGAGCCTCACTTTCCTCCTCGCTAGAGCATGGCGAGGAGAAAGTGAGGAAAGAATTGCCCGTGATTACTGTGGTCTAAAAACGAAAAAGTCTGGTCTTGTATGGCAGGGTTAAAATTAAACTAGGGCTGCAGCGGTCCAATCTGTGTGAGTGTCTCCGAGGAAAGGACTTCGCCAATTTTCGAGCACATCCGATGCTTGTTCTGGTGTATGTGTGAGTGTCTCTGTGGAAAGGACTTGGCCAGTTTTCGAGCACATCCGATACTTGTTCTGGTGTATGTGTGAGTGTCTCCCGGCAGGACTTTAGCCAGTTTCTCAAAATGGCTGAGGGGGAAAAACCTCAGTCAGAGTGCTGCCAGTACCGAACTCTGCCAAGGCAGTGTGCTACAAGAACCAACAACTGCAAAACCAGGGTCAAAATTTCACGAGGCCTGATCGTGACAGGGTGGTAGAGCCCTTCAAACCTGTATTTACAGTGCGGCTTCAAAGCCGACAATGAATAACAGACTAATCAGGGTAAAATGCCCTGAAATCCTTAGGCCTGATCGTGAATACAGTTCAAAATACAACAGATTTCATTGTGTCATGATTTACACCTAGCGTCAGCTGATATTTTTTTAACAGTATCTTAGGCCGCGTTCGATTGCACTGCAATGTTTTGTACAGCCACACCACAGTATGTCCGAGTCGGCCCTAGGGTTTCCGAACCTAGTGTCACTACACGCCATAGTCAACTTGTTGCGTGCACAATCTTGATTGACCATTGTTCAGATTTGACAGCTGTGGAAACAAACAAATCCCTCACAGTCAAAACCGTGTACACCTCATGTAAAACAATGGGCTACAGAGCTGTGCATTAAATGCACTACAGAACAAAAGGGGTCCTAGTACCGGCGGCAATCTCTACCAAAAGTACAAATCATTTTCCGTTTTTTTGTTGGAATTTCGACTCCAAAAGTACCCTGGGCACAAAACGGATCCCTACAAAAACAATTCAGTAGCTCAACAGGAAAATTGAACCCTATTGGTTTAGGGTAATCTTGTTTTTAGATTTTCGCGAATACCCCACCAAAGTGCAGCGGCCTCGCTGTCGTTTGAGCACCAAGCGTGAAACAGAACTCTTCAAAGTCCATTTTGCCCCTGGATCACTGTTCTTGACCAGCTGGCAGCAGTGTTTGGACTGCGGTCCGCGGTGAAAATTCCCACACCAGATTCGTAGGTGCACCGAACGTACTTCAGGTTCTGGTTTGGATCTGCCTACCTCTCGTAGGGTTTAAAAGCCCATGTGTGCTGCTGCCGAGCCTTAACCGAGCCACGGAATACTGTGATATGGCTGTGGTTACCCCTGGACTGTGAAGCTATCGAACAAGGCCTTAAATCTTCCCTAACGCTTTAGGCCCTACAACAATTTCCCTTGTAAGTCTCGCTGGCATTGAGAAACCTGTGCTGTACTCCGAGAGCGGGGAAACCGAAAACCCTCGCGATGTTTCCAGACGACTATCGACGTGACAAACCGTACTGCACCGTAAACGGTCTCCGTCAAGGCCCTTCAAGGTTCGCTTTCTTGAGGCGAGGCGGCGACCCAGGGTCAGGGATAAGAGCGTGTCCGAAGTGAAGCGTCGAATGGATGTTGATGGATGTCGGTAAATGTCTACCCTCGGATCGAAAGTTCTAACCGTCAGGATTTACCGACATCGGGTGTCAACGGATGTCGACTTCACTTCGGACCCGCCCTAACATGACATGACACAGTTGTAATCCACGTCAGGGCTAACCTTGGTTTCGCCAGGACTGCGTGACTGCATCTCACGTGCCTAGCTTAGTTTCGCATTGACAGTTCATTGCCTCCGTTCCGTGGTCATCTGCGCTGCGCGTCGTGTCGTGTGTGTTCTCTTTCTTCTTACTCCATCGTCATGGATTGCACGGGAATTCCGGCTTGCGTGGGAAGGCATCGGAGCGGATTCCGGACGCTAAGCGCAGATAGCTCGGTATTTTCGGACATTTCTTCGGACGAAGCACTAATGGCAGATTCCGACGCCTTAGCTCATGAAGCGTATCGAGCGATGCCGTCTATCAAGGATTTAGAAGTGAAGGAGGATTGCGAAGGGTTACTGACGGGGCGAGAAGATACAGTATTGTACGATCCTGGGGGTTTGTTACCCGTCCCTGAACGTCAGCGGATCAAAGCAACAGCAAAAAACGACAGCTTTAGGGATTCCAAGTAAGGCTGCGCGAATGCCGCCGTTTTCGGCGGCTGAGGATGATCCGTCAGGTCGTGCCGCGTCCCCATGTCATGCCTCGAGGTCGGCGACACAGGCAGCAGGTCTCGAAGTAGATTGCGACTCGTCCGTTCGTGCCACGTCATCGTTTCAATCGTAACTCCAGCGTACCCGCACAGGCAGGAGTGCGTGCCGCGTTTTCGTGCTTTGGCTTCAATGGCGATTGCGATGGCGCTTCATGCGCATCGGCCGAGAAGGAGAACGGGGAGGAGGAGGAGGCGAGGGAAGAGGGGAGGGAAGTCGCGAGGGTGGGCGAGAGCGACGACAAGAATGATCTCGAATCGGCGGAGGGGGAGGAAGGGGCGGAGGAGGCGGAGGAGGCGGAAGGGGCGGAGGGGCCGGAGGGGAAGGAGTCTGACGATGAGGGGAATGAGTTCCGCGGATTGGAAAATGAGGCGGAGATGGCGATGCGGGCGGAATCGACGGCGGAAGAGGGGTTCGGGGAACAAGGGGTCGTGGAAAAGGGGGTCGCGGAGGGCGCGGAGGGCGCGGAGGGCGCGGAAGGAGCGGAAGGGCCCCATAGGCGGGAGTCGTGGGTGTCGAGTGTGGAGTGGTTCGTGTCGTGGCCGCTCAGACGACTCAGCCACCCGTGGCGCAAGGTACGCCGCGAATGCTGCAATGCTGTGGTGTCTCATGAGGCGCCTCATAAATTTACTCAGCCATTTGTGGAACGTCTTGAATATCGAGGTGCTGTGGTGACTGGGACGCTGCCGTGCCTGATGTCCTGGCTCGTGCGCTGTGCCTGATGTCCTGGTTCGTACGCCGTGCCTGATGTCCTGGTTCGTACGCCGTGTGTGTGCTGTACTGGTTCCTACGCCGTGCGTGCGTTGTGTGTGAATATAAAAAAAAAAGGAAAAAAGAAAAAAAAAGGAAAAAAAAGGGAACTGCAACCTCCCAGTTCTCAGCTGTTGCTTGCGTCCGTTCTCGCCCCACCACCCTCCTCCGCCCACCGTCATTCCCACCTTCCAGCGAGTGCTCTGAATGTGGGTGGTGCTGGCAGCGGCCATCCTGTCGCTGGTGTTTACGACGGCCTGGCAGCACCTCTCAACTTTCCCCCTGTCGTCACACCCCTCCTTCCACCCTCCCTCCCCTGTTCCAGCGAGTGCTGTGGCTGTGGGTGGTGCTGGCAGCGGCCATCCTGTCACTGGTGTTTGCGACGGCATGGCAGCATGCAGAGGCGAGTGAGAGAGACGACCTGGAGGGGCACTGTGACGAGTGGGCAGCGTTCATTGAGGCCAAGTTCAACACCACTGCTGCCAACACACGCTCCATTTCCGACTTCATCCGCGCATACTACCTTGATAAGTACGGCCAGAGCAGTCACCCACTAAGGCTGGACAGCCGCCTTTTGAGGCCTCTCAAAAGCCATTTCCGACTTCATCCGCCCCTTTCACCTTGATAAGAAAGGCTGGGCAGCCAAACTCCACCTTGAAACTATCCCACGGGCAAGCAACATGAGGGAAGACTTTCTTGACGTGCCCACATCCCAACACGCTTCACTCACTCCACTCTCGAATTTGAGTCGTCTTAAAAATATATTTGCGCTTCTACCCCCCCCTCCTCCTCCCTCCTCCCTCCCCCTTCCCCGGGGCGAGCAGCATGAGGGAGGACTTTCTTCACGTGGAGAAATTCCAGCGGTTCACTCAAGCGCAGTCCACTCTTGACTATTGAGTGATTTTTTTTGAGAATCTCCAAAATCACTCACAAGGAATTAGTCTTCTCTTTCACCCAAGATAATAATCTTTCTCATCCTCCCCCCCAACCTCCCCATCCCTCCG